CTAACTGTAAGCACTGCTCTGTCTGAGGATCTGTTGATCTCCAGTGTGAACTTTAAACACCCCAAATGTGTCCCGCATGTGCATCGGAAGACATGACGGTGTCACACACATCGAGCGAGAACATGTGCAGCTTATTTGTTTTAAGGAGGAGATTGAGAAGGAGAAGGACGAGGTTTTTGGCCGTGGCGTTTTGTGCAGCAGTGGCAGTGACATCCGTAGAACGGAACGTGTGGGTGCAGAGTCGCAGCCAAGAGAAAAATGTTTGTGTACATTTGTGAGCGCCTACTTGTACCACTCTTGCGAGAGGAAACACGACTATTTCAGTGAGCAAATGCGCCAAGCATTGGGCTGTATTGGCTTGCAACAAGTGCTTGTTATCGTGTTGTTATGATGTGTAGGTGGGATGAATGTGACCTGACCGTTCAGACTGAAGTCACATGTCAAAAGATCAGATATGTATTGGTTTCAGGAGCACATATCCAAGTGGCCTGGGTCACATTTGAAAAAATCGCATCTGTGTCGTTCAGACTGTCATTAAAAGATCAGATACAGGAGCATAGGGGCCAAAAAATCAGGTTTGGGTCACTTCAGGCTGCAGTGTGAACGCAGCCTTAGTTGGAAGTACAACAGATGAGCAGATTTGTGCTGTAAAAAAGTCCCTCTCAAATAACATTATAGTTGAAACTTTTTTTGTCATTATTGCTAACGTGTGCATTGTGTCTCCATGGTAACTAGTGAACACTCCGCCTACAGACATACATGTAGAACACCCCCAGCATGTTGTCACTGCAAAGTATCAATTGGAAAGCAACTTAAGCTGGTGATGTTACTTCTGTTTCAGTAATTGGGCAATCTGTCCCTCTTGTCCGTTTGTGTCCATTTTATATTTAAACGTAAATCAAAATTCTAAAAGAAAAAAAAGACTAAAAATGATGACATAAAATGTTTTATAGTAATGACTAAACAATGAAGCAAAAATATGTCATAAACATTTCAGTGCAGAGGGTCCAGTGAAGGAGGTTGACACAGTAACTTCCCCAGGACGTGTTAAAACTGTACAAAATAATACCTCAAATAAACCATCAAATTCAACACAATTCAACAACAATAAAACAAGATTTCACCTTAAATACAGTACATAAGTTAAATAAAGCGTCTGTTTCTGAAGAGGTCACTGACAGAAATAAATAATGATAAATATTAAAGGTGAGGCCAGCTCCCGGAGTCGGCCTGGTTTACTTTAAAACATCTGTAACACTTTGGAGAGGGAGAGAGGAGGAACATAATCAACACAAACAAATAAATATAAGGATAAAACCAGATATGAAATTAATAAAAAAAAAATCACTCTATTTATCCATTGTCGGCGCCTGATCTGCTTTCAAAAATGTGAAACTATTGGCAAAATTAGGGATGCACCGATACAAGGCTGGTATCGGATAACGCCACCGATATCAGTTCTGCCGATTTTTCATTTGTTCTGTAAATACTTTAAATGATAAATAACAATTACAAAACACGTGTGGATTATTTCTTACTTTACACTGTTTGAGTTTGATGGAAATACTGGTATCGATCAATATCAGTTCAGGTATCGCATTGTTATTGGAACAGAAAAGCTGGATCGGTGCATTCCTACACAAAACTAAAGAAACTGTATGTACTCTGTGCTCCGACAATCACATCTGAACCTGTGTTCCCAGAGACTTAGAGGACACATCCAAGTCTGTCTCATTCTCAGTTTATGGACAGACCAGGCCTCTTGTGAAGCTCAGAACCTCCAGAATTCCCTCCGTGAGCTGCAGAGGCTGCACTAGCACTGACTCATGACTGGTGCAGGTGCTGGGGTTCAGATCAGAGAGACATTTTAGATTTAAACACACTGGATTTCACCATTGAACCTGGCGACGCAAATGAGAGACTCATGTGAGGCTCGTTCTGCTTTCTGACTGGATAATTTAGAGAACCAAAACATGAAATGTTAACATGAAGACATGGGACATCATGTCCGACGTTTCTGTATAAATTAGCATAATAATGTACCTGTAATAAATGAGATACATTTGCATGACAATTGTTACCAGTTAAAGCTAGATCTGAATTGAACATGTTTACCTCATATCTGGAGACACAGACACAGAGTCTAATCCAAGTCGTACATACAGTTTCTTTAAGGAGAGGACTGAGAGAGATTTTACAACATTTTATTAAACATATTTTTCCATGTTCCTATTATTTAAAACAGTTTGTTCATCGTGGCTGTTTACAGTTTTGAGTCTTTGTGCTCCCCCTTGTGGCCTTTTTTATACAGAATCTTAAATTAACTTCTTTCTTTCTACAAAATTTATTACAAATAAGTAAAAGTTTAAAGGTCCACTATGTAACTTTTCTGGAGGAGATGTTATTGCTTTTCCATGAATATTCCTTTGTCTGGCATGTAACATCTGTCTCCATGGAGACAAGCAGGTGACACCAAGCCAATTTACAGGTCAGATCTGCGGGGGAGGTGATGAAAACACCTGTAAATGAATAAATGCAATGACATCTCCATGGAAACATGTGTTACACTGTGCACCTTAACGCACTCTGAAAAGCTGGTGAATGATGCTGACAATACATTTCACTTTTAATAAATGGCTTTTACTTTTGGACATCTCTCTCCGTCTCTCCACTTTACTGCCAATAAAGACACATTTGACCCAATATAAAGTACGATCGTCCCTGTTCATTTCACTGTAAACTGGGACAAACGCCACATTAGTGTTAGTGTCGTCCAGTTATCTCCAGAATCCACCACAAGGTCCATGAATGATATCAGAAAACTCAGAAATCAAATAAAGTCGAGGTTATGGTCAGAGACGGGTAGAGCAGCCATATATTTACTCAAGTAAGAGTACTGTTACTTAAAATAATATCACTCAAGTAGTAGTAAATCAATAGTGATTAATTACTCATGGGAGTGGGAATTCTCTTCAAATACTGAGTAATCTTTTTCACTTACAGATCTGATATGTTTTCAAATTAAAATATTACACATAGACTGTATAAGAGATGGACTATGGGAGAGTGACATCACCCATAGGCTCCAGTCAAATGAAGCTCATCGAGGCCTGGCGGTTTTTAGGGGCGAATTTAGAGGCGAGTTCCATATTAGGACAAGGAATTGATTTATGGACAACATAGTGCTTTTTGACTGTCAAAAATAATATTACTAATGTACTAATAAGTAATTAGCGTTGCCTATAATGTTCCACAGTATGGCATTAATAAATCTCCATCACAACCAAGCAGATCTGTAAAAAAATGCATGTTTTTCAGCGTATTTTTAAAACACGTAACACTAAAACACCTTTATAATTGAATAAATGGGAGCCACAAATGCCATACTGTGGAACTTTCCAGAAAAAGCAATAATATCTCCATGGTGACAAGCTGGTGGAGTGCACGTTTAAGTACATTTTCTTCAGAACATTACTCAAGTGAATTTAATGGAATCCTACCCACCTTCTTTGTTTGAAACCAAGAATGAATCATGAAAAGTGCGTATAATCAAAACTCCTAACCACAAACGAACTTAAAAACTGTATATCTATTGTATTTCCTTTCAGCATTCCCATGTGATATAATGTAATGTTTTAACCTGCTCAAACCAAGTCCAAGAAGCAATGCCGCCATTTTCGAAGAACCCAAGCGATTCTACAAATTCCTCTCTTCACTTTGCAATCATTCAGAAGTATTTCTCCAAACTCAGAACCAAAAAAACCTCTAAAAATATGTCCTTTGAATGCCAAGAAAGTTCACTCAAGTTCGCCCAAACCAATTTTCATTTCCATTTTCAAATTCTTGCATTCTTGTCGCCATGTAGCAATGTCTTTCGGCGACTATCAGCCATTCCAATCTTTCTTGCAACATGCCGGATTTTGTCCAATGCATTTTTAAGTCTGTCAGATACCAAAATGTGAACGCCCACCTTACATTTTAGACCACCGCAGATCTTAAATAGCGTAGTCGGTTCACGTTCCAAAATCAGAGAATCCTCGAGAATCCTTGATCAAACCTGCATTGAAAGTCCGTTTTGTTGTTTTGCGTTCACCTCAGAAGAAATAGACCGTTCCTATACCGTCAACAGTTATGAAATCCAACTTAACGCGTTGAGGTCGGGCATATTATTGGAAGAACATGCCTCCTCCAAGTTTCCACCATTTTGCAACTTCGCATAGCTCGTCTTCTAAGTAGTACTCGCGATTCAAGTCGAGCAATGCCCAACCAAGTTCTTGCAGTACTTGATCAGTTTCAAGTACTGGTATCCATGGATTTCTAACAAATAATTTACTTCAATTTCGTAGCCATAGAAGATCTCCTGGTCACCTAGTATTAGAAAAAAACTTGTGTGGTCTGTAATTGTCTTTTAAACTTGCTTATACTAGGTTGTGGTAGCTTTCCATTGCTTTCGTCATAGCATGGTGGTCTTCATTTTGAGCGTACGCAGACATCATCTTACTTTTTAGACCATTGCAGATCTTAAATTTTGTAGTATAGGTTCACTCAGGCTGTGTTACGTTCCAAAAATGTGAGAAATCTTTATCAAACCTGCATTGAAAGTTGCAGAACCTTTCGATCCAAGCTTGGTATTCATCAACTTGTATTTTCGAGATTTTGTTCATTCATTGCACCATTATTTGAAGTTTCTCTCGATGTCCACTTACCCTCCAAAATCCACTAAAATTTGTTGCAGTTTTAAATACTAATTTCAGGACAACGTTGCCATAGTCGCACGAGTTCAAAGTGCAAGTAGAGATGACATCACTCCACTGCGGGTCCCCTAACTCCAAAATTGGGTTATTTTGTTCACAAAGGAGTTAGGATCCAAGAGGAAGGCATTAAGAGACAAGGTTAGGAGCATAGCGAGGAGTCGTATTCCCTCCCTCCTTTTCTCCTCCTCTCCTCTGATTGGACGAGAGCTCGGTCCAGATGTGGTGACAGGAAGCAGGAAGTGTGGGCTAGACTTGTACGCCTCGCCCGTGCATTTGAATGACCTGCGCTCTCAGAGTCTGTATCGCGGTGAGGATGAGCTTCTGATGCTCCAGCGAGGTGATGCCAAGACTCATGACGTCCCTGTCAACACAAGAAATATAAGTTAGGACTAATAAATAAGTCATAAATAAAGTATCTATCTATTGTTATTAAAGAAGTTCATTCAAATGCATTAGTATTCCTGGTTTCAGGTAGGGTGACCAGATGGGAGCGGCTGAAATGTTGATGCTTTCTAAGTTGCTTTTCTTTAGAACCAAACAAAAATCACCTTAACTAATAAAAACATTGAGTTTTAAGAAATTATTTACTTTACACACAAATGGAAAAAAAGAACCTGGAGTGTCTGCATTAAAGATAAATGACTTAACATAGTGAGTTAAACTATATAATGTAGAAGAAAAGTTTGGTTGTGGCACTGGCTCATCTGCCTCCCCTGACTGCACGTCGCTGATACTCCACCTCTCTGTCTCTGCTCTGCTCTCCACTCGACTCCATACGCGGCAGTTGCTGTGTACTGTCTGCCCGCGCACTCAGTCAGACGCTCTTCCCTGGAGGCGAATGTACGCCTTGTGAACAGAGCGTCTAGAAGCCATCAGGGGCTCTCTACAGTTTTTAATGTTTATCACAAAATAACTACTCAGTATTTTGTTTGAGTGTAATTTAGGGCCATTTAGGGACGGATTCTGGGATTCTGGACAACAGCTTTGATTTCGGGAAAGTCACAAATTTTTCGGGACGTCTGGTCACCCTAGTTTCAGGTGACATAACTGGACTCTGGATATGTCATTCAGAGACTGTTTATATATAAATAGACATAGCTAACTGCCACTTTCTAAGCAGAAAGTGCTCAGAGCGTGCTTCTGGCTCCATCAACTCTGGCTCCAATTCTCTTTACATTGAAAAATTGTCAACCCTCTCTGTTTCTGTGAGCCTTAAAATTAATCATATTAACCTGCTCTACATGTTCCTGGGGTTTTTCACTATTTTGTCAGTAAATCAAGACATGGACATATAATAATAACAATAACAAACATATCAGGCTCCTTCTTTCCTCCTGCTAGCATTAGCAAAAGGTTTGATTGACAGCGTTGATAAAGGAGCGTTACTTGAACAGCCTCGCTCCAGATGAACTCTTTGGTTGTGATGACACTCATGGATGGAATTCCAAATATGAAATTTGGCCACAAATTCCTTTGTATAACTGCGAGCCTCAGTGAGCTCCATTTGACTGAAGCTGAACACTATGGGTGACGTCACACTCATTTAGTCCACTTTGTACAGTCTATGCTGTCAGTATAAATGACTGGAGATAGGAGCATGTGCACTGTGTCACTTTTCTCGTGGAGGTACCTGTGTGTCGTCATGGTGATGGTACTGACTGGAATGTTGTGGCATTATCTCAATTTTACAGTTTTTACACCTTTTCTGACGTATCTGAACCTCAACCAAGACATTTATCGGCATATTTCAATGGATTCCAAAATATCTGATCTGAAATCTGATTAGAAATAGACTTTTTCATTTCGGCCAATATCACCTATAGATAAAACGTTTGATTCAATTTGAACCATTTGAACTGAACCATTAAAACAACTGCAGATGTGTTTTGTTTAATTCACACAGGATTCTTTCATCCTGCCTTCAGTTCGTCTCCTCCTTCAGATCTCTGAACTCTGAAAACTTAGAAAGTTAAAATAAATTGATGCCTGCGGCTATTTGATCCTTGTGCACCTTCACAAAAACTGAAAAAGTTTAGATTAAATAACTTCTGCTGTTCTCCATGGAGATGTTAGTACTTTGCCCTGAATGTTCCGCACTATGGCACTGAACTTATATATTTATTTATTTAAGTACAGGTGTTGATATTGCTTTAGTGTTATTAATACCTTGAAAAACCTGCATTTCTTACACAGTTTTTCATTGCTAAACAAGACCTTGCCACCTGCTTATCTTCAGGTACGGTTGTAATGCAAGAAATGCTTTACTGTGGAACCTTCATACATTTTTCATTATCTGAGCACTTTGGTTTTACAGTGTTCACAGTATAAAAAAATCCAAACTAAAGGCCAACATTTCCATAGAGACAAGGTGCTGTGAATGTTTTTTATTTTTGGTATATTTTAGGACGTTGCTCAGACAAAACTTCATAGGTGAAGCTTAAAGGTGCATTGTGTAACTTTTGTGGTGGAGTATCCATCACTTAGACATCTGGTTTCAGAGCTGGAACGCAACAAAGTAAAAGTAGTAAAGTACTATGCTAAAGTAAACATTTTAGGTATCTTCAGTAGATTTTAAATTTGACACTTTTTACTTTTACTTCACTACATTTGAGAGCAGTATCTGTACTTTCTACACTACTACTTTTTTTAACAGTACTGAAAAGTAGAAGTATTTTTTTTATTATAGTTTGAGACCTGCTGAAAAGGCTGAGGGTTTATTTTTAACACGTTCAGCAAACAAAAATACAAAAAATAAAAAAAAAAAATCACCACAAATCTTTATCAAAATCACTATATTTGAAGTTTTATAAGACCTCAAAATCTGCATGAAATACTTTGACCTTTTGCTCTTTAAGTACATGTTTAAGTGAGTACTTAACTACTTTTACTTAAGTTGATTTTTACTTGATCCCCGAAGGGTTGACCAGGTTTTGTATTCACCCTGTATGTCTGAGTGTGTCTGAGTGTCTGTCCACCTGCGATAATTCCGCCATTTATGTACCGATTGTCACCAAATTTGCCCAATGCCGCAAAAACAGTGACGGTCCGAGGTCATTTGAGGTCACACAGGTCAATTGAAATGTCACGCCATTATAAAGGATCGGCAATTTCAGCAATTTCTGAACCATCTGCTTCCTAAAATATTCACCCAGTCATCACACAAGTTGGCACACACATAACCGGGGCACACTGGATGTTACAGGTTGAAACTGGTCAAGGTCACTTGAAGGTCAATGTAACCAAGGTCAAATATGTGTTTTTGGTCATAACTCCACGAAGGATCGAGCTAAAGCAACGGGAGTGTCTCAAAATGTCAGAAAAATTATTATCAATTTATAATTCTATGCATTTGTAGAGTAAAATATTAGTAGTTTTTGAGATAATCACTAATTACAACAGTTCCTTTCTCTTTCAGTGTATGATGTTAAAATTCTAATTGGAACGAAATTAATTTCCATTTCTTGTTTTTCTGGTGATAACACACACACTGATCTACAGTCACACAACTAACACACACACAACTCATGAAAAATGACATTTTGGTTCCACACTAGTAAACACAGACATTCTCATGTGTGACCAGTATCACACACATGTTCATGGGCCTGTACACATACACACATTGTATTGTGGATATAATGATCATGTCATATGGGCTGGACTCCTCATAAACTGCTTCTGTGCTGATGAACTCATCCCACTGATGCCTCATGTGGACCAGGATGATATCTCTGATTGCGCTTGTTTCATGTGTTTTCCATGTACTTTTACTTGAGTTTTTTTTTTTTTTTTTTGCTCCAGTATCTGTACTTTTGCAGTACTTCTTCCTCCACGCATGTTTCTAGAGGTGTGCTCCAGAACTAGGACCTGGGGCCATCTGTACAGGGAATTATGATTTAAAAATATAACAATAACAATTTGCCACTTTTTTGCTGTACAAACAAAAGTGTGCAACCACAGTGAACGTGTTTTCATGATGATTTGATTCATGGACACAACAGACTTTTACCTATTATGTCACAAAACTGGGAATTTCAAAATTTTGTGGAGCTCAGAAGGTCTTACTAAAAAGGATTTATCAAACAAGGGTGAATAAAACAAAATACCACTCCAGGAATGTTTTTGAAGAGGGAACAGTGTTAGATGTGAGTCGTTTTTGCATAACGTGAAAAGTTTGTCCTGCATGTTATTCCATATTGGCTTTTATTTCTCATGGATTTCATTAAAAGATTGGAAACTCAGCAATGATTAAAAATGGATCCAATATAACTTCCCAAAGTCAATATATTCTGCCAGTGAATTTCCATTTATTCACACGGTTATCATTTCAATTATCACCTCCTCCTCTCCACACGCCCGCCTCCTCTCAGCTCGCAACTTTTATTTTCTCAAACAGGAAACAGGACTGCCGCTGATAAGGGACGACGCAACTAAAACACAATCAACATTTGGTCCTGGTTTAGTCCTGGTTTAGACTTGGTTTGGTCCTCTTCTAGTCCTGTTTTTGTCCTGGTCATGTTCCAGGTTCATATTCTCCACGTTTACATGATGTTTGTTTAATTCCAAATTAGGGATGGGCATGATTAATCGATTAATTGATCATTAAGAATTTCATCGATTACGTTCATTTTAATTGACAAACCGAATGTAGGTTGCTGTGCGTAGCGTGACCAAACAGGTCTGTACATGTAGCTCTGCACTCAGAAGGAGCGAGCAGACACAAACAGTCGGTCAGTCTGCAACGCAAATGTGTATTTAACGATGATTTGTACAAGAAATTCCAGGCTTTCCGTTGCGTTCGGGACAAGTGTGAGTCCATGTGCACAGTGTACAAAGCAGCACATATGTTTCGTGTCCAGTGGGAAAAAGTTTTGCCAGGTGAGAGTCGCGCAATGTCGATGACGAGTCCCCACCTCCCTCCCCCCGTACAGTGTCCTGGTTTTGACAAACGCAAATCTGGTCACACTAACCTGTATTCACCTGAGTCATGTCTTTTAATCCAACAGAAGTTGAACCGCATCAGCGACACAAGAGCTGTAGTTTTATCTTCGCTTAGTTTCTGCAAATTAGCGATGCGGTTTTAAGTTTCGTTTTTGTGAGAGTTGCGCAAAACTGCGTTAAACACATTATAATGTCAAACAGCTGATGTGGCTCTAGAGTCGTTACGGTTTATATGTCGTAAAGTTGAATTTATGTATGCAGGTTAGTAGTGCAGATAGTAATAATAATGATGATCATTTTAATATAAACACGTTAATGATTAATCGATAATCGATCGTTAATTCTTCCGACGATCGATTAAGAAAATTTCATCGAATGCCCATCTCTATTCCAAATTAATTGTTCTTAATTAAATACTTTGGAATTAAAATATTCTCCTTTGAGTTTACATGGAAAACACGTTAAATCATCTTTATTTAATTCCACTCAGCATCTGGAGGTGGGGAAGGGTTCTGATTGGACAGGGACACAAACATATTTATGTCGACCAGAAGAAAACACACACTTCAGCTGCTACCGGCTTTTTTGTCATCTCGGTTTGTCGTTATGCCACGGACACAAACACGATCCAAACTTTCTGATGATATTTGCACAGCAGCTGGAATTCTCTCATCATGTTTTATGTCTGTCAGCTGTCATACCTCATCCCACTCCCACATCCCGCTCGCAAATCCAAAGAGACTTGGAAGAAAGTCCAAAGCCAGGACTGGTGGAGCCAGATCGTCCGGATCTCGTCAGGAGTACGACCCAACGAGCATCCGGAATTATTTTTAAGAAGAATAAATGTTTACATGATGGAGGAATAAAGTCATTCGGCATAAAGCACCTACCTACCTACTTACTTCGGAATTAAGTTTAATTCTGAATAATCATTTTCATTAGGAATTAAGTGTTTACAAGGTCTTTTTAAAGCAGGATTAATTTTTATTCAGAATTAAATGATAAAGCTCTTATTTAAACGTGGCAAATGTGTACGTAGCCATACTCACAAAAGCCTATCCATGAATATTGGTTTCTAGTTTATAGCCGTCATTTTGAGGACTTTCCACCATTCAGAAGACAGAATATTTAGTTGAATTGTTAATTACCATGGTTACAGCAACAGTGTTAATATTTCACCACTTTGAAACCCACACGTCCCTAATATTGAAATGATCTGAGTGGGAGGAAAAATGTCTAAATGTTTAGATGTTTTCCAATTTTTTTCAATATCGGCGCTGATATTCAATACCAGTATCGGTATCGGCACATTCCTAAATATTCTACTCAGCGTCTAATTCGAACCAAGCAAGATTCCCGCTTGCATCAAATTCTGCTATTGTGTCCTTAAGCAAGTCACTCACTTTCCTACTATGCATGTGGTGTGTTTAGATAAGTACACAATGAAACCCTTTACAAATATCACAACTACTACTCCCACTACTATTGTTGCTACTACTACTACTACTACTTACTGCACAGTCATCCTTGCCACAGACTCTAAGTAGCAGTATCCGGCCGCAGTGAAGTTGTCCTTATATCGTCCCATGTCCACGGCGTCCAGCCACTCCCCCACTGAGCTGAAGCCGGGGAACGTGGGCAGGGGGCGCTCTGCTATCGTGATGGACGAGCTCAGCGTCCTGCAGAAGAAGACGAGAGTATACGGTCAGTATGTGAGAAGTTTGTCTCACTGTTAACCAGACCAAGTTACAGGTCAGATCTGTGGAGAGGCAACCCAGAATGTCAAGTATTTCTGAGCTATAAAACCACCTGTAATTGAAATTAAAGTAGAGCAGTTTAATGTCACATCCAACGCGCTTTGTTACTACTATAACTACTGCTGCTACTACTACGACTACTACTACTACTGCTACTGCTACTTCTTGTACTACCACTGTACTACCACTACTGCTGCTACTACTACGACTACTACTACCACTCCCCTTACTACTGCTACAACTGCTACTACTACTACTACTGCTACTACTGCTGCTACTACTACTATCTCTTCTTGTACTACTACTGCTCCTCCTATTGCTACTATAACTACTGGTACTACTATTACTATTACTACTATGACTATTTCTAATACTAGTAACTATTACTATTACTGCTACTACTACTGCCACTGCTGTTGCTATTACTATTACTATTACTATTACTATTACTATTACTACTACTACTTACTACTACTGCTATAACTACTATTACTACTACTACTACTACTTACCGCTACTACTGCTGCTATTACTTTTTGTACTACTACTGCCACTTCTTGTACTACCACTGTACTACCACTGCTGATGTTCCTACTACTACTATAACTACTGCTATCACTGCTACTAGTTACTACTACTACTACTACTGCCACTTCTTGTCCTACTGCTGCTACTGCTGCTACTATAACTACCGCTACTACTGCTAATGCCACTGCTACTGCTATTACTATTACGACTATTTCTACTGCTAATACTACTGTTACTACTACTACTACTACTATTACTACTACTGCTACTACTACTACTACTATCCACTGCTATTACTGCTACTACTACTGTTACTACTTTTTGTACTACTACTATAACTACTGCTATCACTGCCACTAGTACTACTACTACTGCTACTTCTGCTACTACTACTACTACTACTACTACTACTACTACTACTACTACTACTACTACTACTACTACTACTACTGCTACTACTACTACTACTGGCTTGATTGTACAGTGTACCAGTGTGCTCTGTGAGTGCGTGGGCCTGTGCTGTGATGCAGTCTGGGATGTGGGGAAAGCACATACTCGTACAGCAGGGCCTCCTGGTTGTGGATGTAAAGTGTGATTAGTTTGAAGCTCTTCTTGTCTCGTTACCTGCGTGCGAGCGTGGACGAGCCGATGGCGTCTGGAGAGCGTATACTTTTACTGAGCGCTGAGTGGATCTGACTGAAGCTGGGCCTCTCGGTGCGCTCCTTCTGCCAGCAGTCCAACATGAGCTGGTGCAGGTGAGGGGGGCAGTTGACAGGAGCAGGCAGCCGGAAGCCGTCCTCTATCGCCTTTATCACCTACGGGCACAACAGCAGGGATACCATCATGTGCTCTTTAAAATACATTTTTAAAAATGATTATATTATTTAAAATCACAACAGCAGGGCTTCACAAAACTGTCCATTTAATCAACAGAAAGTTAGAAAACCACGACTAAACCAAAACTAAATCAAGACAAAATCAGAACTAGACCAGGACTGAATCAGGATTAAACCAAGACTAAATCAGGACTAAACCAGGACTAAACCAGGTCTAAACCAGGTCTAAACCAGGACTAAACCAGGACTAAACCAGGAGTGAACCAGGACTAAACCAGGACTAAACCAGGTCTAAACCAGGTCTAAACCAGGTCTAAACCAGGTTTAAACCAGGACTAAACCAAGACTGATCTGGGACTGAACCAGGACTGTAGGTGGCTGTAGATCCTCACAGTCGTGTGTAGTGTAGAAGCACCTGTGCTTCTCTCAGCTCTGTACAAAACTCAATCTCCTAAAAGCTACGGCTCAAATCAGATTATGATTAAAATGATACAGAAGCACTTTCTAAAACACTCTCCCTCTTCTCCTCATTTCTTAATTGACCTCTACTACAACTGCTACTTCTACTACTGCTGCTGCTATCACTACTACAACTGCTACTTCTACTACTGCTGCTGCTATCACTACTACAACTGCTACTTCTACTACTGCTGCTGCTATCACTACTACAACTGCTACTTCTACTACTGCTGCTGCTATCACTACTACAACTGCTACTTCTACTACTGCTGCTGCTATCACTACAACAACCACTACTGCTACTGCTACTACAACTACAACAACTACAACAACAACAACTACTACTACTACTACTACTACTACTACTACTACTACTACTGCTACTGCTACTGCTACTGCTACTACCACTGCCACTTTTGCACTACCACTGCTGCTACTCCTGCTACTACTACAACTACTGCTACTACTATTGCTGCTACATCTGGCACTACTGCTGCTGCTGCTCCACTAGAAATACTGCTACTACTACTGCTGCTCCTACTACAACTACAACCTGCTACTGCCACTTCTTGTACTACAGCTGCTGCTACTACTACTACTACTACTACTGCTACTACTACTACTACTGCTGCTACTACTACTACTACTACTACTACTACTACTACGCTTAACTTAAATGAGGCAATGTCAGGTGAAGGATCAGTCTCAAGTGTCGTCTGTTTTGCTTAATGCTCCTTATAATCCAGTGCACTTTATGTATGAAAATAGATGAGAAAATTCAACAATACTGATATTGTGCCTTAATTTGGTGTGCCTTATAGTCTGAAAAATACAGTATAATGAAGATGTATGAGTTTAAAAACAAAGTGGTAACTTCCTGCATTACCACCTGATGACATCACAGGCTGTAACAAAGAAACACTCATCTTAGACTATGTTTACAATGAAACAAATCCGCGTATCACCGTATCGGAAACAATCTGCGTCCAGACACGTCGTTTCTGTGTCCGCAAGTCTTCCCTCTCCACACAACTTTGAGCATATTTGTTTACGTTTTACAGAAACTAAATTTAAAACCACATGGCTCATTTGCATAAAGTGAGCGCTCAAAAAAACAGCTCACTATTGTGCACTGATGTGGTTCAGCTTCTGTCGGACTAAAGGACATGACTCAGTGGAATATGAGTGTTCTTTCTGTGACAGAGGGGTGTTCTGCTGATGGTGAGTCTGTTCTGTGTTTCTACCGCTTTGGAAATGATTCATGTTAACCTTTTCAGAGATTATACGTCTGTAGGTTGTACACACAGACACACGTTTATAGTCTTTTACTGTTTTGGCGGTGAATTAGTTACTTTGCGATGCATAGACCTACATTAGTGTATCAGCATTTTCAGGTGTCCACACAGTGCCGGATCAGATCTGTACTCAGATTAATTCCTTCTGAGCTGGAGGCACCAGATTGTTCCGTCTCTGGAACCGTTTTCAATCGGATTAGTATGCAGGAACACTGTATCCACAATGAAAACGACTCAGATACATACTAGTGTGGACGGGGTTTTAATGACGAACAAAACACAACTCCAGGTACATTTGTGATGAGGACACTACATGATAACAACATCGATCAGAAAACAGCATAATACGGGCCCTTTATTCAGTCGTATGTCTCCTCTAGTGTTTTATACTTTTTGTACTTAACTCCAGATGGCAAAGTTTGATCATTGTGAAAAACTGTGCTTTAAATGGCGGTTATTCATGGGCAGGGCTGTGTAACTCCTGCATATTCATGTGAGCGGAGAGAGGGGGACATGTTTGTGATAAATGATCTTTTAATACGCTCCTGGTTTCTGAAAACGGAGACGATGTGAGGACAGAGGAGAGAGCAGAGGAGGCGTGATCTGGAGGAAAGACGAGAGACGTGATTAGAGGTAATTACTTGAAAGTATCACAGTATAATGAGACCTGGAGATGAGTTTAAGATACATTTGGACAAAAAGGTGTGAGTTATTAAAGATCTGTGATATGAGTTCAGATTAACGACACTGGCCATTTGAGATAGACTAGATAAAAGGAAGTGAGATAAAGCTTTTTGTGCTCGAAGACTAAAACTCGCAAAAAAATGACAAATACAAGAATCATTATTTTTTCTTTTTCTTCTATTTTATTTTGTTAAACTAATACTAAAATTTGTAAATGTCTACTTAAATAGAAGTATTAAAGAACCTGTTTAAAAATGTACCTTAAGAGTAAAAAGTAAAAGTATTAGAAGTAGTAACGAAATTTCGCTTATATTTTCTAGCTGTTGTGTTTGTGTTTTTGTGTGTTTGGTTTGGGTGTTAACATTAATGTCTGAGACTTAAAAATAAGTCTCAGATATTTCTGCAGGACACCGTAAAGAAAACTATGTTTTACTTTTCACTCCAGATTTAAAATGTAGTAGAGTAGTGCATATAGTACATATACACGCTCTCAACTGTAGTGAAGTAAAAGTAAAAATTATCTACTGTAAAACAGACTTAAGTAATATACAGATACATAAAAAATTTTACTTTATTCATTTAGTCAACAGAAAGTTAGAAAATCAAAACTAAACCAGGACTGAACCAGGACTGAACAAGAACTGAACCAGGAATTAAAGGTTGTATGGAGGATTTTTTTTGTTTCAAATTGTCAGTGATAGATTATAGAGGTGCAGTAGCCTTGTAATTATGATGACCAAAAAAAAGAGAATAAAAAATTAATCAACTCTGGACGTGGTGGGGCTAAACATTTGCCAATAGATAACGACACTGCCTCGTTATCTGTGAGCTGACAGGCTGTCAATCAATCTCCCTACGTTTCTAGCGTAACTGACTTGCCTGCGCCGCCGGTACGTGGTTTATGTACGTCTGTCACACAGTCCACAGACGCAAGACGCACAGACGCTGTTTACTCCACCAACGCAACAGTTCTTTTTTTGACCTATATCTTCCTCGCAGTTCGCACCAAGTTTGTTGCAATGGCGACAAGAATCCAGGAGCAGTTCGCCGCAAAAGAAAGTCCGTTTTTGAGGTCACTGAAAGAAGAAGACAAGGGGAAAAGCAGCGAAGCCAAACTAAGGTGATTCTTGAAGATTCATTCCAGCGATGGCGCGACTGAAGCAGACGCAGGGTCTAAAGACTGACGCATTGGTCGCCAAAATTACTCCTGGACAGGTCACTTCTGCTTATTATGAAAACATACTTTATTTCCAAGAGCAAGTCAAACGTTTTTCAGGACACAAAAGCGATATCCTATGTCTGAAAACGTAATTTTCAAGGCAAAGAAAGAGTCCATTGTTGCTGCGTGTTGTAGCTAGTTCATTCGCACGGAATCTCCGCGCAACCTTCTCTGCATCCCTTTCCTGCTCCTGTCCCCGCTGCCCGATCCGCTCTTCCCCCTGCTCCTCACTTCTCCGGGCACGGAATCTCCGCGCACCGCTCCCCTCTCCTCTCTCCTCTCTCCTCTCTCCTCTCCCTGCTCCCTGCTCCGCTCTTCTCCCTGCTCCTCACTTCTCGTCCGCGAACGAAATGTCCCCGCACCCGCCCCCCGCTCCTCACTTCTCCGCCTTGCCTAACCAACACTGTAGTTAGTTGTTTACAAGTCATGTGCAGCACCGGCTGTAAACAAACTTGTTTCTGGCGTAAAGAGGAGGCAGGAGAAGGCGTTTCTACGTAGGGAGCTGTAGGGGAGGGGGGGTGGTTTCACGCATGCGCAACATTTGAAAAAGGTCGCTGGATTTCTCGTTCCTTGGAAAATCCTCTATACAACCTTTAATGAGAATTGAGCCAGGACTAAACCAGGACTGAACTAGGACTAAACCAAGACTGAACAAGGACTGAATGAGAACTGAGCCAGGACAGAACAAGGACTGAACCAGAACTAAACCAGGACTGAACAAAAACTAAACCAGGACTAAACCAGGAGTTTTAAAAGAATCCGCTTTAAAATGTACTAAAAGTACATAAAGTAAAGTACAGATACCTAAAAATTGTACCTAAAGTATTGTACTTTTACTTTTGTACTTTGTTACCTTCCAGTACAGCATATCTCTATCTTAACTTTACATTTGCTCACTGTAAACCACAATATTGAATTAAAAATTGCTTAGTAAGAAAAAACGACTACATTAAAGACACTGTACCTGATGTTTACTGTCATAAAAACTTAAAATACGTAAAATAGATCTAGTTAATGTTCAAAAGTTTGCAGTGGTCCAGTTATTCCTCACTTATGCTTTAGACACATTCTCATTACTTTACATTAGGGCTCCAGTCGATCACAGAAATACTTGGTCCATTAGAGGCATGACCCATAATTGGATTTGTTGACTAAAAAGGGGGCGTGGCTCTCAAAAACTCTCAAAAATATAACATATCTCTGACCCAAACTGCACCAGACTACACCTGCAGGGGGAGTGTTTGCAAAAAACAATATTTATGCAGAAAAAAGTATGAGGAAACAATGGATTCAAATGGAAAAAGGCAGATTAAACACAGGAT